ATTCCTGAAAGCACACAAGTGCCTTTGGAATATGATGTGTTTTCAGAGGTAAATCTGTATCTGGTGATCGGTTTGGGCTCAGTGTCATTTTTGTTGCCATTTTTGGTGACCATCATGGTGCAGTCGGAAACTGAACCCTACCGAAGCCTACCGTGTTCCTCCTTTTTGGAAAAGTGTAATTTCTCAGAGGAACCCAGCCACAGTGACCTTAGTCTCCCATGATGCCTACTGGTATGGTTTGTTTCTGGTAGAGCAGGAAAGGGAAGTTTGAGATCAGGCAGCCAGTGATGAAGGGAGCTGGATATAATGTTTCCAGTCTGCCCAGAAGCACAGACTAGATGGAGACCAGTGGGTCAGCAGCATCCACCCTTCAGGTAAGTATACTTGTGTTGTGCTTTTAACCCTTGAGTTAAAGTGGGTTCACATAATGTTAGTTGTTTTTACTTGAGTATGGAATACATTTCATTGTACTTTACCTTCATATTGAATTCATACTGGAATTTGGATTCATTTTTAATGTACAATTTTAATATTGTATTTATAAGCAGCAGCAAGTCCATTCAACTCCTAAAAGATAACAATCTTATTCACAAGTGCATATTTAAATTTTCAAGTGTTTTCTGTATTCCACATGTTATGCTTCCTTGTAGCTCTGCAATCTTCTCATTGATTAAACACTTTCAGTGGTTGTCAAGCTCACAAACAGCCTTTTGTCAAATAGTTTTTAGATTTAGATACTATTTCTGCTCCTAAATATTCACCTTCTGTGTTGAGAGCAATATCATAAACTGAGAGAAAAAAAGAGTTTCTCTTTGTGGACATAGTGAAGTTAAATGCTTTTATTGCATAACTGTTTCAATTGACCCAAGCAACGCTGATACGGGGATTTTTGTTTTCTATATTTAGGTGCCTCTTTTTGGAATAAATTAATGTCTATACTGAATGTAGAGACTGTATGATTTTGCATGGTATTACAACATGACTATACAGAGTTAGTCGTGCAATAAAAAGATTGACAGCCATACTTACAATACAATGACCTATGTTTTCTAACTGCTATGTGTTCAGGTAGCCTTTTTGAAAGCAATGAAGTTCAACTTGTACTTATTTACAATTAGTATCTTTGCTGAAAATGAGAAATCAGTGTTAAACTGTTAAACAAATATTCAAATATACAGTTATTTGTTTTTTGTTAATTCTTTATTAATTTGGAGATTCGATGTAGAAATATTTTATAGGTTTTCATAAGTTTTAATGTTAGGTGCAATTAATCATTATTAATCACTGATAACTATGTCATTGATTAGTTATATTTTGTTTTAATCGATTCACAGCCCTAGTTTTTAAATATGTAACTGCTGAATGAGTCACAAATGCACTTTGAATATCAACGTGTAACGCTGCTCACCGCACGGGAATCTGTGATCCTGGACTCCTTTAGGTCTGTGCTGTTTTCGCTCCATGGGAAACTGTCCAGTCAGCATAGGTAATACTAGGCACATATGCTCATTTTACACCCACCTCAACCCCAATTGATTGGAAAGGGGCCTAGATTCATACTCATACACCCATTCTTTCCTCTGTCTCCCTCTTGTTAGTTAAACGTTACATGATACAGACAAACAGAGCTTCCAAGCAGTCTTTGGGGTGACTCAGTCAGGCTCACCTAGACTGATCAAACACGTTGTTCATGGATATTGCTTAATTGGCCAAAATATAGCAAAAACTATGCAACATCGCAGTCTGGGAATAACAATCTAATTTAAAAGTAAAAGAAGCCTAAATGAAATAAGAGCTGCCCTAAATTAAAGAGAGAACATTGCTGAAGTCTTATGAAAAAACCCGTACAGTCATCAGATCAAACATGTATAGGGTAGGATGCCCTGTGCTCATTTCCCACAGCAGAGCTGGG